CCCTCTCACCGGATCAGCAGGTCCCGCAGGAGGGGGAACTCGCAGTGTGCCGGATTCTCCACTGCAAAGCAAGGCAGAGCGGGCAGCAGGGCTGGCAGGGTGCAGGCAGGAGGGCAGGGCGGCGGAGGGATGCCTGGGAAGTGCATCCCGGCAGGCTCCGGGTACCACCGGAGCACCGGCACAGCTCCATGCCACCATCTGCACCCCCCAGCACCCGCTCAGGCAGGGATGTGCCCATGGGTGCTGCTTCCCACGCCCCTGTCGGCCCCCCCCCCCATACCAGGGGAGGGCTGGGGGTGCAAGGGGCTCCGCTCACCTTCAATGATGCCCCACTTGGTCTTGCGGCCCAGCACTCGCTTGCCGTTCACCTGGTGCTCCTGGTCCGCCCCCACCACGGCGAAGGGGATCTTCTCCTGCCGGCACAGAGGAGCGTGCTCACCCGGGGTGCTGCTGGGCTCCTCCAGGGGCCGCCTCTCCCCCACTGTGGTCCCCAGGGGCCAGCATTCCCAATCCCGGCATCCCGACACTCACCCGAATCCTGTCGTTCAGCAGCCGGTCATCTGGGTCCTGGTCAAAGTCCTCCTGTGGGTACACGCTGATGGCGTGGGTCTTCAGGTCCTCCTGGATCTGTGGGATACGGGGCTTGAGCTGGGGTTGGGGGGGGACACGGGGCACCCTGGGAGCCCCTCAGGCACCTGCCCTCACCCGTTGCTTGAACTCTGCCCGTTCCTCCAGGGTGAGCGTGTCAGCTTTGGCGATCACCGGCACCACGTTGACGATCTTACTGAGCCGCTGCATGAACTCCAGGTCCAGTGGGCGCAGCCTGCCAGGGACCACCATCATCCCAGGGTGACCCGCACCACCATCATCCCCCGAGGGTGACCCCACCACCAAGCAGGGAGCACCCATGGGTACTGTGAGTGGGGACTCACCAGTGACCCGTGGGGGGGACAAAGTAGACACATCCATGGACCCGGGTGTCCGGGATCTTCCTCTTGCGGGTGATGAGGACCTCCTCACGCAGGTACCTCTCGTACTGCTCGTTGATGTATTTGATGATGGGGTCCCAGCTGAGGATGAGGAGTTGGGGGACAGCATCTGAGCTCAATCCCCACCCCAAATTGCCACCTACCAAGCTGGGATGCTGCACCCCGTTGTGTCGTACCAGTTCTCGTTGTTGATCTGGTCCCCAAACCCTGGCGTGTCCGTCACTGTCAGCTTCATCTTCACACCCTTCTCCTCGATGACTACGGGGCAGAGATGTGGGTCAGCAGGGACCAAGCATTGGGGAGAAGCAGGGGACTGAGGAGGGGTCTGAGGCCGTATCCGTAGGGTTGGTGGGACACAACCCCATGGTGGTGACCTTACCGTGGGTGATGGACTGCACCTGCACCGTCTTGGGGATTCGTTCCTCCTGGCCGGGCTGTGAGGCTTTGCGGCTCACCTTGGACTTGAAGAGCGTGTTCACCATCGTCGACTTCCCCAGCCCACTCTGCCCTGTGGGGACGCCAGCAGCTCCAGTTTGTCCCCCCCGATAGACTAATTCCCCCAGGGCGATAACAACTCAGTATCCATTTGGGAGCATCCCAGAGATTGGGATAGCTCTGGTTTGCACCCCCAATAAATTTATTCCCCCAAGGTGATAACCCCTCAGTACCCACTTGGGAGCATCCCGGAGGTTGAGATGAGCTCACCCATCAGCATCGCTATGTTATGGGTACGGGATGTTGCTCCTCTCCAATTTATTGCTGCTTAAATCCCTTTAAATCTCTTAAAAGCATGATTCCCCTGGCACGGCGGCATGGCAGACAGGATTCCTGCCCCAATCAGGACCAAACCCCGCGTCCGGTGCTCACCCACAACCATGATGTTGAACTCGAAGCCCATCTTCATGGTTTTGATTTTCATCTGATCGAGCACAGCTTCGATTCCCACGTAACCGAAGAGCTGGCAACCCGCCGGGCCGGACGCCGCGGTGAAGGGCATCTCCTTCTCCTCCTCCTCCTCCGGCACAGCCGACGGCTCCATGCTGTGCTCCTCAGGCTCCAGGCTGTTCCCTGCACGGGTGGGCAAAGGCGGGTGAGCCCGGACCCCCACGGTGCCCACCCCTCCGCCAGCACCGTTGCCCCAGCAGCAGCCACCCCGGCGGGCGCGCAGCCCCGGCACATTCCTGGCAGCCGGCGAAGCTCGGCACGGCAACGGGGCACGCCGCCCCCCCCC